GAGCAGTTACATTCCTCTGCTGCAGCGTTGTTCAGGAATTGCATGGCTTACAGTGAGTGACGGTTCATGACTCTTATCATGAATTATCACTCATTGGGGGTTAACTACTTGAAGGCTTCCTGGAGTAAGCCCCTAAAGAGGGGATACTGTCACAGTTCAGAAATCCTGGCCTTAAGTAGCTACTGGGATGATGGCCATCAGCCATCAAAATACCTTTTGGTCGAGTGGTATAGTACTTTCCCAGTGTACTTTATTACAACCCGGATCCGTCGTCGCTACTGCTCAGACCAGAGGAGCATCATTTCTATGATTGGTCGTGGTCCACTGACTGGTTTTTGGGGCTCGCACCCTGAGGCACTCGGCGCTGTTGGACTCGTAGAAATAGGTTGGTCCGTTCGTCTTCGCTTATCTCTGGATTCGCTGTCGATATCCTGAGGCCGTGGTCTCTTCGTTCCGCAAATATATACACCTGGCCGTCCAGTCTGCGGAGTGCTGGGGCCGCTCAAAAATCCTCCAGGTTGCTCTCATTCCTCTCCCAGAATGGAGGTGCCTCCGTCATTGCTTCATCCTCCACCACAACCGCCGCAGCCTTGTGTTGCTTGGACCTCGGTCGAGTGGGTTCGGCATCCTGGGTGTCCCGTTTTCTCTTTGTCACGGACGACACCTTTGGACTCTCCGGGAGTTCGGTACCCGCGACTGTTTTCCTGGCGTAGCATTGGAAGGTTCGGTTGCCATCTCATCCGCAACGCCAACAGTCGCATTTGGATGCTTTGTGGGCATCGATCTCCTTCTGAGGAACCCCTACCTGAGCCTCCTTTGCTCCCGCGTAGATGTCCCCTTCCCTTGTCCTTCCCTTCCTGACTGCTGTTGCTTCCTTGGCCTTTCGGCCCTCCGGGGACTCCCCGCTTTCCTTGCGGCCCCCGGGGTCTCTGCCCTTTCCTTGGCCCTGCCGGCCGTTGCCAGGTCCCTTCCGGTCGCCGCCGGAACCCTGGCTACCCGATCCCCCTTTCCTCATTGCCCTTGCCTTTTTCAGCGCGTCCCGTCGTTCCACATGGTTGCCAGCCCTGAGCATCATTTGCAGGAAGTCCTCATCATCTTCGTAGGGTTCGGTGTGCTGGTTGAAGCACATGCCGACAATGTCGGTGGTCATGGCCTGGTTGACTATGTCTTGTAGCGGTTCGCCAGTGGCGCGAGCGATCATGTTGAGCGATCGGAAGGAGGTCATGTAAGCCTAGATGTCTCCTTTGTATTCAAGGGCCCACATCATTCCTAATGCGTTCGCTCCCTCCTGCGTGTCGCGGTACGCCTCCTTGAGTGCCTCTTGGTACGCCTGCCACGTATCTTCCAAGTCTAGCTGCCTTAGGCTTTTTCGACGGGCCTGATGCCATTCTGCCGCTGTTCCTTCCAGTCAAGATCCCACCCACGCTATCTTCTGCTGCTCGTTTGTCTCTTGGTGGAACTCAAGATATTCTTCGACTGAGTCCCACCATGGACGGAAGGCTGTCCTTTGCTTGCCATCGAACGGCTCGGGCTCTGTCATTTTAAGCTTGATGGCCCTCGGGTTCGATGCGGAGACGGCAGCAGCGATGATCCGAGCGAAGCGACTCTCTTCGTCTTCGTCGTCTTCTCTTGGTAGCAGAGCGTTTCGGTGACGGGGCGGCGAACGACGCGGCAAGGGGATGGAATCGTCATCATCTGATGGTTCCTCATCCGAGGGATCACCTCCAAGGTTAGTCACCGGACGTCTTGGGGGTGGAGGAGGAGGGGACATTCCTACACCTGCCGGAGTTTCTCTTGTTGCTGATCTTTCTGCTCGATCCTCCTCTTGGGGTGGTGTTCACCCACTCTGGGCCTTTTCCTTCGCCTTCCCTCTCCTTACCTCTACAACCTTCAATTTTTTCTCCGCTCGAGCGATTTTTTTCTTGATTCGCTGTTGCTCTTTGTAGAGGTATTCCGCCTTCTCTTCCTGTTTCCCTGCCCATATTTCCACGTTGCGGTTATACACCGCTTGCTCCCTGCGTTGTTCGACTTGCGCTGTTTCGAGGAACACGGTTGCGTCTTGTAGCCGAGCGTTTGCGGCGCTTTGCAGCTCGCGGTTGTTTTCGTCTTTCTGGTTACGTTCTCGAATGACTGCCCATACGTCGCTGCTCAGGGCGTGTGTCGTGTTCGCTACCGTTGACAGCTCGGTTCGAAGTCATTCTGTATTCATTTCGGCATTGTGAGCGTAGAGGTTGCACACATACTTGACCCCATTGCAGAGTTGTTCGTAGTTCCTTCTGATCTCCTGCATTCGGGAGTCCTCTTCGTTGAACTTCTGATCGCATGCTTGGTAAAGTTGGCGCAGGTCTCTTTGTGCCGTTTGGTATTGGTAGTTCATCAGCCTGAGCCAGGCTGCCGGGTTTCGTACTTCGACGGTTTCGGATGCTTGCGGGATGCTAACGAGCGCATTGCTCAGGGTCTGAGTAAGTTCGAGGCGGAGCATGTCGAGGTTTGAGGAGGCCATTTCGTTAGAAATCGGTGACTGTAACCTTAAGAGTACAGTGTGAGACTGGAACGAGTTTGTGTCGTCGGAGTCTATGGTGATATCGAGTGTAGAATAAAAGTCAGGGATTTCGATAATTCACAACGGAATAATCTTAAGGGTGTTTCTTCGATGGTTTGTTCGGTGCGATGATTGTGGTTTTTGGTTCGGTTGCCCGCTCGGTTCGACTTATAGTCGTTCCGATCCTGAGCAGGTGATTCCTCTAGAGTGCGGCCTAATGTAGCTCCGTTGCTTCCTTTGCATCGGAGTTCCGCGGCCTAGCCTCGAGTCGTCGTCAGCTCTCTTTGGATAGTCTTCTCGACTAGGCAGGTGGTAAGCACCACGCGCCCAAGATAGATCGGAGTTTCCGAGCAATTATCTCCCTCATGCGCCGGCAGAGTTCTTCGCTCGAAGTTCTCTGCCCCCGTCGGTCGATGTTCGATTCTCTCGTCATAACAGTTTTTCCCTGGATCGGAGTTTCTACTGCGGGGCCCTATGAACGGAGATCTCAAAGCCCTCTGGACTGTTATCCCGATCTGCCGCATCTCCGATCACTGTCTAGACTCTGGAATCCGTTTGCTCCCTCCTTCCTATCTTGTCCTTGATCGCTTCTAACTATCCTTCCGGCTCGCAACTCTATTCTAATCACCCGAACTATCTCATCACATCTCTTGCGACCGTGGTGACCTCTGATACCTATCGGGGTGTCACACTACCGGCCAGGCAAAGCGGGAGGAAAACCGGATGCACTGACCAGGAGGTCAGGAGACCTCCCTAAAGAAGGGGATGAAAGACTGCTCGCCAACCAGCAGGCAGTCCTGAAACCTGACAACCTACCGGAAGAGCTCCGGTTGGCAGCAACCAGCACACCCGATCATGGGGCACCCAGGGCGCACGAAAACCCTGGAACCACTTGCTCGGAGGTACTACTGGCCACAGATGCGAAAGGGCGTTGACCAGTTTGTCCGAAACTGCCACACCTGCCGACGAACCAAGGCCACCCGGCACGCACCCTATGGTGTCCTGCACCCCCTCCCAGTACCTAAGAAGCCATGGCGACACATCTCAGTCGACTTTGTCACTCGCCTACCGGCCTCAAAGGGGTTTGACGCCATCTGTGTTTTTGTTGACCGACTGACCAAGCAACGCCATTGTCACAGTTCTGAAATCCTGGCCTTAAGTGGCCACTGGGATGATGGTCTTCAGCCATCAAAATACCTTTTGGTCAAGTGGTATAGTACTTTCCCAGTGTACTTTATTATAATGACAATGACCGTGGGCATGTGCCAGACCCTGAGAAATCCCCCTCGCTGATACCCCGCTGCAGCGGCTCACAGCCTGCGCTGCCGCGCTACCCCTGCTACCAACACACAGCCCCAATTCCTCCCTCTCATTCCTGCATTCCCGCCCGCGCAGCCCCTTGCACTGCCCCCGCACTGCCTTCCGGCCCCTGTTCCCACTCTTCCTCGAACGTTCTGCCGCGAGCTGTGACATCTTTTCTATACTCGATATCTATGAAGACTCCGACGTTCCGGAACCGTTCCAGTCTCACATCTCTACACTGGGGCCCAAAACTCGGTGGAAAGGGGAATGGAACCAGCGAAGTGGAAGTTTAGATATTTTTAGCGCACAGTGACGTCCAGCTATTATATATGCCAGTTATGAATGACAAGCTTTCTAGAAGCCTGTGGTATTTTGGTGGTTTGCTAATTTGTTTGATTTGCATGTCAAACAAAATGCCCCTACATAGAGATAGGTGCGAGTTTAAAGCCCCAAGATAAACGGTCAATGTAAAATTGATGCCAGTCTAAAGCAGCAAGATCGTGGAATTTTGGCGGTTTGCTAATTTGTTTGATTTGCATGTGAAACAAACCAAAAAAAACAGATGGTCAATCTAAAGCCCCTAGATATTTAGCGTGGCTGACGACAATCACGTGAGAATAAATAGCAGGCCTTACAAAAGCACAGGGAATAGTGAAGCCGCCCGCACTGAACATGCTCCTAAAAATGGAACAATGGACCGATAAATGGGGCCAAACACCCAGAGATGGGTTCCAAAAATTTATGGTTGAGAGAATAGTAGGAACGTTGAAATCTCCGTGTGTGTGTTGCAGGGCTCGAATTCCCGGTTCTCGACAGGAGCAGGTCTACTCGTGAGTCGTATCTAACCGTATCGTAATCTCCACTAAGATTGTCCCATCTTAGCCTAATTTTGTGCATTGGTTTGTCGCCCCTCTTTGATCGCCCCGGTCGACCGCTTAAGCGGAGCGGCTACCGTGCCAGGTGGGGCTTCTGGGCAGTACGGTAACTACTCTACGGTAGCTGCTTTGCCTGTAAATATGATTAGCAGATGTGGTTCTCGATCGCGATTGGTACTCTCGCTTTCCCGTGCGGGTGTGAGAATTGCGGGGTCACCACGGTTGTACAAGAGATGGGGGTTGTGCGTTGAGAAGTATTCTTGCGTCCATCTGTGGTTGACACTCGGACTGGCTTTTCCGGATAACTACTACATACCATCGACATCGCTAGTAGAGTGTTCTTGGGTAAGTATGTTGTTCTAAAATTGATACCATGGTCTCTGACTTTTTGCGACAAGTCTTTCGGACGACGTCGCATCATGCCCCAAAAGGATCCCGATGTCCTGGGCCCCCTCTGGCACGTTCCCGACATTCACTGACCGGGAGACGCTTTGCCCAAGATCCCATGTCTCTGCGAGCCCAACGACTACGATAAGCAAGGCTTTTTCGACTACCCTTCACGGCACGGCTGGAGGATCGACTACACGACCGATGATGGGCCGGTGCGCGTCTCTGGAGATGGAAAGACGCTATCTTCGTCGGCCGCAGAGAAAGTTGCTTTCTTGCAGGCATGGTTGTTCTTCGGGATGTTGCACGAGGCTTTCCGAATCTTTGAAGTCCCCATCGATTTGGAAGAATTCGTTGTGCGCCCCGCCGAAGGATCCGTTCAGTGCATAACCACCTTTCCGGCCAGGCAGTACTTCGGGCAATGCATCGATGCCGGCAAGAGAACAATAAAGTCCTGCGTTAAGGCTCACGAAGACCTTGCAAAGCTTTTCAAGCTCGTCTCTGGGATGATCTCGCGGTACGAGGACACGGTGTCGCCAACGTCGTGGCGAATATCCGACGTTCTTCCGCTCGACGCCATCCTTTGCATTCAGGTGCTGGGCGAATCGCTCATCAACCTGGCGAAGATAACGATCCATGTCCCGCTGTACGACTCGGCACTGGCAGACGACGGGAAAGTTGGATTCAATCGGGCTACGAATCCTCTACAAGCACGCATGTTGCAAGGCGGATGGTGTATCAGCGCCACTACTATGCTGCACGATTTGCTGGATACGACGAGTCTGTACATTGCCAGCCGTATGCGCACGTTCAACAGCACGGCGTCTGCCCCACAAGACCATAGCAGCTGCACAAAGGTCCAATGCTACGCGAACCAGGTTGATGAGGATACGTACGAAACGAAACATACCGAGGATTGTCAAGGTTGTGAGCATATCTCGGTGGACGTCGAGCAGGTCGTTTCGATTCTAAGGAAAGGCCAGATCCCGCTGGTGGCCATACACGAAGTCGATAATCACCCAAATATCCAGTTGGAAGTCGTCACGGACCGTCCGTACGTCGCGCTTTCGCATGCCTGGGCGCAGGGCTTGGGGAATGCCCACAACAATTCTCTTCCATACTGCCAGTTGTCGAGGATTAAAGGAATGATTAGCGAACTCAACCCATCCGTCTCCGGACCGAAAAGTTCTTGCAAGCTCGCTATCTGGGTTGACACGCTGTGCATCCCGGTTGCTCCCAGTCTGAAAGAAGTCCGCAAGGTGGCCATCACCCGTCTCGCCACAACATACTACGAATCAGAGCACGTCCTAGTTCTCGACACAGGCCTGATGACCACCTCCCGGCTCGCAAGCCGTATGGAGAAATGCACGCGTATCCTTAGCTCGGCGTGGTTCCGGCGGCTGTGGACGTACCAGGAAGCGGTGCTCTCGAAGAATGGCAATCACGGCGACAAGCTGCAAATCCAATTTTCGGACGGACCAGTCCACTTTCAAGACCTCTTAAGAAGCCCAAAGAGTCTCTGGCACTCGGAAAACGCACTCTACAGTCTTTTGCTCATGCTTCCTCTGCATGGCAATGTCGCGGTTAAGCTCACATACCTTGCGCGCGTGCTCCAATACCGTCGCACCAGTCGGCAAGAAGACGAGGCCATATGCTTGACCTCCGTGTTGGGATACGACGTCTCTAAAATCACCGCGATCGCGAGTGCCGACGAGCGCATGGCTGTCTTCTATTCGTTGGTCGACCGTGTCCCACGGAACCTGATATTCGGCACGACGCCTCGCCTCGAAACCGCGGGGTATCGTTGAGCGCCAAAATCGTTCCTTCAGCAGAGCGCCCGCATTGCAACCGCCGAAAACGCCGATGTATTGCGTGACGAAAACGGTGTTTACCTTGACCTCCCCGTCCTGGAGTTCCGCTCTATAACTCCTCCGACATGGCCGCATCGTCACTTTTCGCTGACCGAGGGGCCGGGAAAGCGACATTGGTCATTGAGGCCGGTGGAACGAAAGTCCGGAAAGAATCAAGTGGAGTGGAATGAGCTTTCACAGGACTTGGAGGCGTTTGATAAATCGATACTAGAAATCGGGAGGGGTGCGGTGATTCTCAATCAGGACCGCAAGGTCGGGTTGCATGCACTGGTCTCGATATTGAGGGAAGACGGAGGGACTCGGTTCTGCCGGTTTTTGAAATTGGTGCGCTTATTCGTTGAGCCCGATGTTGACAACTTTATTGGAAAGCAGGGTGTGATTACGGTGGGGAAAGTGGAAAGAGTGCCCAATGGCGTTCCTCCACTGTGGTGCATGGGATAACTGGTCGTCCACCGCTTCAAATACGAGCGGTACTGGGTCAAAACATCCTCCCATTTTCTGTTGTATATCGGTACCTCACGCTGGGAGCTGTGTGTAGCATCTGTTTTTGTTTTGTTTAATGAAGTCTTGTCTGCTGCTATGGGGTCCACTCAAGCTTACGTAGTGACTACTAACGATAGAAGAAATCGCCGTTGGTATCACACCCGCAGCTTCGGGTTTGAATAACTATCGCTACCTTCGGAGATTACTCCCCAGTACCGCAGTTTCCCGATGGAATAACATGTGTAGGTCAATTAAGTCATAATCATAATCGTCATAATCGTCCTTCTAGGACACACTATGTAATACATAGCGTACATAAAGGAGCATGCCAATTGGCGCCGCCCCAGAAAAAGAAAACCGGTCATCCTCCGCTCAGGCTATCTTCAGCCTGCCTCTCTCATGTTTCCATTGGGTCTTCGTCCTCCGGCCCCTAATCCTCGTATTTCTCATCCCCTACCCGCCCGGCCGGGCCCGGCTTGGCCCGCCCCCCCGCTCAAATCCTGCACTGCCTGACCGGCGCGATCATAGCTCAGACCACCATCCGTACTTGTGAGCGATGAGAATCGTAAACAAAACGCATGAGCCATGACGCATCAGACCGTCCCCCTCCCGTTTTCACCCGCCTACTGCGCCTTCTCTGCCTTCTCTGCCTTCTCCGCCAGCTCCGCCTTCTGTTCCGCCTCCTTCCAGTATACCTCCTCATGGGGACGGAGGCCGCCGGGAAAGTAGGTATCAACGAGGGATCTCCCTAAACGCGGATATTCTTCCTCCAGCTGCTGGAGCACCTCCATAACTTTTCCACCCACGAATGCCTTCCTGTACTCAATATGAACGCCAAAAGCGCCCGGCCGCCTTGGAGCGCCACAGACAATGACGTTCTGAATCATACCGATGACTCCTACGACCAGTAAGAACCAGGGGTTCTCCTTCAGGCCAGAGACAGCGATCAACAACGCAATCCAGAGGACGGCCATGATGCTAGTATAGATGCGCGTGTGCGGCATATCGACACCCTGTCCGGCGGCCAGGTCTTCCATATCCATCCCGAATCCACCGCCGATAATGACGATGCAATCGTTGTTGCCATTGCCGCGAGTCAGGGTCACCGTCTTCTTGGTCCCTTTCCGACACTTGTACTTCTCGGCCTTCCACTGCGGAAGCGAACCGGAAGCGAAAGCAAAGGTGATACCAATGGCCGTGGTCATCATGATCGACCAGTCGCCCCACAGTCCCCACGGTATGGCGGCGACTCCTAGCTGCACAACGGCACATAGAACGCCGCTGTAGTATAACCAATCGTGGTCGGGTACGCCCGCTTGTTTATGCGGGCTTGCGTCGTAGACGGCAACCGAGAGCGCGATCCGGATGGGCCTGGCATCGGAGGCGGATGGTGGCACGGTAACGTTTTTTTCCGCGGCGGCGGCGGCGGCGTCGTTGGCGAGCTGCAGGTTTCGACCCTGCTCCGCCTTGCTGAGAAACGCAGCTTCGGCCTGTCGAATGCGCGCGTCGCGCCAGAACTCGTAGTCGCGGATTATGCGTCCCACGATCCACGAGTTGTTCTGGCGACTGTAGCGGCTGCGCGAGTTGATGACGAGGCCGGGGGAGTCCGGCAGCGGGATGAGCTTGTTGTCGCCGACGGCTGCGAGCAGTGCGCTTATCGCGTAGGTAACCCATCCGAACGAAAAGGCGACGGGAGTGACGGGGCCGCCCGAGAGTTGCGCGAGCGCGCGTTGGATGACATCGCCGCCGAGAATGAGGAGGACCGACATCACGTCGCCCGGGCGCACGAACTGCTCACGCAAGGCATCTTGGGGCGACGGATTCGACGTACTGACTGGAGCTGGTGGAAGTGAGTTCATTGCAGCTGCGGAGGATGCGGGGAGATACATGGTCAATGGGTTAGGAAATACGGTCGGGTATCTATACTACGGCAAAGTGCATAACTGTACGAGTACAAAGACGGAGGTGCAACGATCAGCTGGTTTACGGCTGAATCGCGTAAGTTGCCAAGACGCCGTCATCGGGCCGTCAAGGTGATGAGCCCCCCGCCGACCCCGTCAGCGGCGCGTGCGACCTCGCGCAGTGATTTGCCTGCTACGCGGGCGAGCAGGCTTCACGGGTCGGCGTTGGCTCCACGCAACACGAGTATCGACGGGCTGAGTTTAGTCGGCCGTTAGCTCAGCGGCTTTGCCACGTAAAGACTCGTGTGGCTTGATGAAATACTTGCCTACCAGTAGTTACCCTTCCCTTGCTCCTCATTGCTACTCGTATGATGTAGAGTGTTACTCAAGCCGAGGCTGGGTACCGTATCATATGAGGACCTTTCAGGCCTGCTCAGCACAACCTATCCCGTGGGACGCAATCGACTGCGCCTGTTGTCTCCGTACGTACATAGTATTCGGCTATTATTTTACATCTGAACTATGTATTGGTGGCTCTTGCAACTTTCGTCGAGTATGTACCTACATGTTAAGGCGGGGGTGCCGTAGGGCTGAAACCGGAATTGAGCCAGTTCAAGAGAAGTCAAGTCCCTTCGCCGTCCGCAAAACGTCGCATTGACTAAATCGTGTGTGCTGTACGGAACTGCTCAGGGTCCATCACCCAAAGCCCAGCCGAGAGCGCCACGCATGAATTCAAGGAATCAAAATACCTATGCGTGCATGCACTCGTGGTCCAAGTGGAAGGCCCGCCAGCCGGTCATCTCGGACCCCGGTCGCGCACACGAACACTATCTACCTGGAATACACCAACACCAGCACACATGAACACATACCTGCTCTTGGGTGCTGTACACAGCCATGATTTGCAAAGGAAAATATACCAGTCTAGGCGGACAGACGTTCACGACAACAAGGTTAAGGCGCCCATCATGCTCAGCAAAAGCTCCCATAGTACCCTAGTACACACATCTTACCCACTTACTGCCTCACCACCCTCACGTAACCAGCCATCTCTGCTCTGCCCCAGTCATTGCTCCCTGAAGGTTTGCGGTCAGAGGTTCTCCGTCGATACCCCAGGAACCGCCGGACGCAACCAATTCCAAGTAGCCAACAATAGTCACCTCGTATACCCAGTTTGTGCCACCGGTGCCGTCTGTCCCACCACCGACGTATGGAACTGCGGCTGTGGCACTGTTGCCAACTTCAAGATCCCCGTTGTCCACAGCCCGCAAGATATTTACCACCGCCACATCGTTATTGATGCAGTAGTACCGCAGAAGAAACGCAGGTCTTTCGGGTAATCTGAACGACCGGTGGGGATCACCGCGAAGGGCAAATGTATACTTCATCCCGGTAACATGGTCCTCAGCATAGTATTTACCCTCCTCCGCTTCCGCACCCGAACCACCATCCAGTACGAGGCCCTCGTAAGTTGCATGAAGTCCATGTGCATCGCATATCGCAGGTGGTCCGAACGATTGGATTCGGAAAATGTTGAAATTCAGCAGAGACCGAGGTGCCCAGCGAAATGGAGCACGTCCGATTCTCTCGGCGTCTCCGAATATGATGTCGGTGGGTATCTCGCGCATCAGAGTATGGAATATCGACATTCTGGAGTTGACATCCCGCACGTTGAGAAACTCTTGCGTGTCCGCGCCAATGATTGTTGCCAGGATGATCGCCTCATCCGTCATCTTGCTAGTGGAACGGTGCTTGACAGCGAAGCAGAGACGTTGGTAGGAAGTACTGATCTCCGAGATGGGCGGCAAGCCAACGCCACGATCCGCCGTTTGAAAGGTAGATTTCTGCAAGGAGGGCAAAGAAGGGATTCGGTTGCGGATAAGTTCTTGGATCTCTTCGCGAAAACATATTTGTGATATTGCCTGTTCTTTTTCTTCCAGTTCTTGACTCGGAACGCGATGATCAACGTCAACCGGCTGGGGCCCTTGCAGCGTCTGTACAAATAACTTCCGGGCTTGAGCTGCTTCCTGGAGGGTCCAAAGTCGTCGAGTCCATCCGACAAAGGACATGAGCAGCTCCTGCTCCAGTAGTGATGCTCTCTCGGTATCGAGCTGCTCTAATTCTCGGTCCAAGACTAACACCGCGTCGGCATCCTTGTACGTCTTTCCGAGTAGCACGATAGCTTTGTTGCGGTAACTTCGAAAACTTTTGGCGACGGGAATACAAAGCGTGTCGATCCATAGGGCCATCCGTGCTTCGGGACTGCCGCCGACTTGGAGTTTCGCGATGTGTTGGTTGAGGCGCCGTATTTGGCACCGAGGAAGAGCGTTTTCGAATGGGTTTCCTAGGCCGTGAGACCCTGAATTGTTCTTAGTGACGGCAATATATCTAGGCACTCGTACTGGCGGGAAAGGTCATTCAACTTACAAACATGTGATATCGCGGCGTACGGGCAATTTTCCGTAACCACAAGTCGGCAGTCTTCGGAAACCAGAATCCTCGGCACCTTACCCTTAGCCAGGACGGCTTGCAGTTCTTCGGGGTCCACGACAACAGATGCGCACCGACATCCTGGCTCGACATGGACCGTCTCATAAACATCTTCATTCACTTGGTCGGCCAAGCACCTGAAGTCGTCGCATTGACTATGGTCCATTCTCTGGCGCTTTAGGCTAGTAGCAAAGAATTCGTAGGAGCCGTCCATGCGCTCCAACAGCTTACACTCGCTTCTGCACCAGCCTTCGCGCTGCAGCTCGTCTGCGGCGAATTGCTTGAGCTCATCCCAGCGCGCTGGAAATGATTGCTGCACCTGAGGATCCATCAAGGCCCGAATGATGACCATGTCGCACGCCTCCGATGCGGCTAATGTCAACACCGCAGCTCTCGATACCATCCGTATCGAGAGCAGAACTTTGCATTCCGGGTATGTGAGGCGCCGAGATTCGCTTTTCCGCGGATCCTCATATCGCGTCTGCATAGACATGGCGTGTTGGACGACCCGAACGATCCGCGCCGCCTGATCGGAATCCAGTATGTGCTTCGTCGTCGGATCGTGTAGTATTCGCGTGTCGGCTGCATCCAACCATCGCTGAGGTAGACCGTCCAGTGCGGCGGTGCACACTTTCCGGGAACCGGCTGGCCCGGCAACTACGAACTCGGCCTCCAAATCGATCGAGAGTCCACAGATGGACGAAATCTCAGACAACATGCCGAAGAACAGCCATGCTTGCAGGAAGGCTACTTGCTCCGAAACCCCGGCGTAGCGATATCCGCCCGGGGCATCATCGTTAATACGGTAACACTTGAGTTTCAGCGAGTCGAGAGGTCTCGCTAACGACAGCTCCTCGGGGATCTTCCGCCGTCGGCAAGTGTACAAGCCGTCCAAGAACGCAAGATTCTGGGCCCACTCAATCGCGTTGCTGAAGTTACGGTAGCCCGTCGCGTCGAGTGCCCAACCCACTCGCTCGGGGAAATCCCAGAACCCGCGATCGTCGAAATCGTAGTGCGATGTGGTGCATAGATACGGCGCGGTAAACGGTATGAAATAAGGACGACGGCTCGGACAGGGACGCGTTGTTTTCGACGCCGACGTTGAGGTTGCGTCGGCGATCCAGCGGGCAAGGAAGCTATGATATGCGACGACAGTACTCCGGTAGACGTCTCTGATCCTCAATATCGTCCAGACGTGGTTTAAGGCGCCAATGATTCGACCGAAGAGGGGCATTGCTGACATGGCATGCAAGCGATCTGTCACGGAATTACTGAACGGGAGTCGCTGCTGCTGCTGCCGCCGTGGGAGGAGCACGTCGAAAATCCGGACTTCGCGATGCTGCCGCAGTCAGGCGTGCCATCCTGTACGTAGGACGTACCAATCAGATTTTCCAGATGACCGACGTTATGACTGGTACAGCACTCTTTCCAACATCGTCTCCAAATCAAAGTACACTAGTGCTGTCCACATGTCATCCCCGGAGAAATGATAAAACGGTGAGATGCGAGAAGATAAGATGTGATCAAATCGTAGATTAGATTCACCATTGTTGGCTGTGTAGCGCTCCGAAGCGGGGACGACGGGGAAGAAAGCACCTCTGCAAATATCACCCCCAGTCATCTGTCGAATGGTATAACTACGGAATCGCCACAAGAAAAGTCGCTATATAGGTACATATACATGCGCTACACGGACGAAACAGTAGCGCCACCGACATCCCATGACCGCTGGGCTACCGCGCGCTGCGCCACACGATTCTTCGGGGGAGATCAGTCGACCCATTCGTGACCTTGCCCCAGAATTTCGCCCCGATTCTCTAGAGCCCGTCGACGACAATTTTTGTAGTGGAGCAAGGAACGACGTAGAGACGGAAAAGGAAATCGTAAAGGAAATGGTTTAAACACGAGCTGAGGGCATTGCGGTACCCCCTAATGTGCGTTGTTGGAGTTATCATAGCAGACACGCAGAGATGAGCACCGTAGTGTGACTATTTCGCTCGACCGTCGTACGCCTTCCAATGCCTTTCCAGCTCCGAAATAACTTCCACATGGACTTTATTCTTGAGCTCGTCTTCTTTCAAACTTGTGGCGTTGCAGTCAAGACCTCTGATGCAGCGTCGGACGGCAGCGCCGTAAATGGGACCTTCCTCGCGGTTTATTCTTCCTATCAGTTGGCTTGCCGTCTGGTACTCTATGGATTCTTTGTTCGATATGCAACCGTTTGGTGGCGGTTTCGGATACTCGGGCAGCTCCTCCAGACAATCTCCGAACCATAGTTCTACCAGAACTATTCCAAGCGAAAAGAGGCTTTGGTCGTATTGTATGAGCGGAAGTTTAAGCGAAGCAGGTGTAGCTTGCTGTGACGATGAGCCCCAGGAAGCACGATCAAAACTCCGGCGTAGGAATGGCTTGTCCGCTACAGGCTCTGGGTACCAATTGCCGTCTGCCGCACGGCGTCGGAAATCATCTTGAAGAAAGAAGTGGACATCGCGTTTCCCTCAGCTTTCGTTCAGCCACTCGGTGTCGTGTAGCTGCATCAAGCCTGATGAAAGCTGCACACCTAATCTCAATCGTTCCCGCTTGTCAAAATATCCGCGGATAAGGAGCTCCTCAAGTGAAATCGTCTCTCTGGCGTAACGGCAGGCAGCGGATGATTGAGGCGTGCACAGCCGATGCCACGTTTTATCGAACTCCAGGACGCCTAGGTAGGTAGAGTCCGACTTTGCTCGGTCGATTTCGCCACACAAGTCCTCTATTCTTTGTGCGAGATCGGGGGTGAATGTGCTCGGTGTTTTCGTGTCTTCGTTGGGAAGGTTGAAAGAGACTTTTGGCGTATTCCGAAGCCTGCGCCACCAATTAGCGCGTGTCGGTATTTTTGAGTTGTCTTGAAGGGATCAAATACTCTTTTGGCGGCGAGCTGAAAGTCTTCGTATCATTTCCACTCCTTCCTCGTGAAAGAATCCTTCGTAGTCCTTTTTGTTTCTCTTTCGACGGGAAGAGCGAAGTGTGGTTATTTTCAGTCTTGATATTTCCATTGCAATGGCCGCCAGCTTCCCCGCTCTGCCCCAAACCGCCGCAGACAGAGCCCTCAGCGCTGTTGGCCACTTGACCGTCGATTGGTTTAAAATCCATCTCGCGCCATGTCCATGTCGACGGGTTGCGTAGGGGAGGATTTGAAAACGTCACCCTGATTCTGCACGGTTCCCGGGAGGCTGTGTCTACTGCAATCTGCTGCAATGGTGGACTCGCATCGTGTGGATCGCACCGGCAGACAGGTGCCACTTGAAATCTTTGACGGAAGACCTCGTATAGTCCTCTGGCATGGTTGCGGATACGATTGTAATTGTCCGCCGCCGCCGCAGTTTGTAGGGCAAGTTTTGGTAACGTGGTCGGGGTTACCTTCGCCAGTCGTGTGATGTTCTCGTTCGTCGTTTTAATGTCGCCAAGTAAATCTCCCTGTTTGAAGCTGAGTTTGATTTCGTCCCATCGATTCGGCCGGAAGTCTGCTGCAGACTGCCAACACCAGTCAGTCCCCAACCAACTATGTGCGTAGGCCGTCGCAGCAATACCTTCATATCTTCATCAAGCCCAAGCTTCGTACGGAGTTTTTCAAGCGCCAAACTCAAAGCCTCTACCGATTCCACGAATACCCCAGCCGCGTCCACTCCAATGCGATCGATGAGCAAACTGTGGATCTTCCGGTCGTCCCAGCCTTTCCCACTCAAGAGTAGCATCACGGTTTCCGGCGGGACCAGTCCCTCGAGAAGAGTCGCACATGTGTTCGTAAACAAGATGGCCTCCACCTTCAGCTCCCGCACCAAAGCTCTTCTGTTTCTGAAGTTGCTGGTCGCGTCGAGGTACGCGCCGAGAACCTGAACAAACACCGGGAATACTGCTAGGACTAAGCCCGCCGTTTCTATGCCGGTAACCATTGCGATTTCGTGCTATCGATGGGCGAGCGAGGGCCGCAGCTGAGGGACGAAGGATGAGGAACCGTCGATGGGAAAATCGTTCTAGCCCCGCTTTTGGAAAATCGGCGTTGGATCCGAACGCTGTTAAGTTTTAATTTGCAGCGATCCGGAAACAGAAGCCAAAAGGTGGTGCCGTGCGACAGTGGTAGAGCACAAGTTGCGGGGTCGGGACTCGGGACTCGGCCCGGTGGGGGCGGCATGGGCTAGGTTTTCTCCTCCATTCGGAGACCCGTGCCCAAACACAACCACCCAAAATCACCCCGCAGCTCAATTCTCGCCTCCTTCAAAAGGTTCACTTCCAAGACAGCTCTCCAACTTCGACCGCATCTACTATGGCGCATGGCGGGGGAGCGGAAGATCACAACGAGATCGCTCTACAACATCGAGACTGCCTGCAAAGCTTCAGCGAGCTATTGCAATTAACAGTTCTTCAGTATCATGCGATCTTGCCTGCCATTCAAGAACAGTTCGCCAGGTTCAGAGTCTGGGCCGAGAATGTAGGAGCGCACCGAGTTGGGCGAGTTTCCCTGGATTATCGCCTCAGGGAAGCAGCCGATGTGAAGGCGATGGTCATAGAGCTACTAAGCGATCTCAACGAAGCTTTAAAAGATGGTATTCCAGCTGTGTCCCGCATGTGCATCATAGTTAGTACTAAATTTTTTAGCTCTCACAACTGTTTCGACTGCAGACAATCGGTCTGTCGCGCCACCACCAAGCCCACCAGCGTGGCCCCCAAACGATCAACAGTCTCCAGCTGAACCGGTGATGGAAGAACTAGACGAATGTTTGGGGGAGGTGAGACATGTCGTAACATGTCTATACAAGTTTTCGATCGCTATTCAAAACCCCGCCCCGCTTCGCAGACTTCAAAAGTCGTCCGTTATCGATGTTTCCCATTTCGAGCACTTCGATATTCAGCACATTTCCAACAAGTTTCCCGGCGCGCATCCCTACTTGGTGGAACGTCTCGGAAGGTCAAACACAAGGCGACGCCAGCTACTTAGATATCATGAGCTGCATCACGATAAAGTTGCTGGCCGGTACGGTCTTGAGCCATTGGTCCCGGGGCCAGTCGAGAAGGGCACACGTCAGGGTGGTAATCAATCAGCCATGACAAACTCGAGGGAACACGAGCGGAACGAGATTCCTCAAGGAACGAGCAAGAAAAGGCCTGCAACTCATACGCTTTCGGCAACCACAGTAACGGCCTACGAACGAACCACAGAAGAAAATACACTTGAGCAGCTCTCCGATGCAGGTTTCTCGCAGACATCATATTCCTCCTCTGTCTACGGTATAGTCGAAAAGCTGCGTGTGCCGCCTCCGCCCAGTCAGCAGTGCGCATTCCAAGGAGAAGCGTTCCAATGCCCATATTGCTTTATTATCACCACGGTGACAGGCCAGAAATCTTGGAAGTAGGCTCATACATCGGTGGCACCGCAGCTTGCATAATGCTAACGATTTCCTAGAAAATACTTCTTTAGAGACCTGCGTCCCTATGTGTGCACTTTCAAAGAGTGCCCCAAATCCGATCATCTTTTCGACAATCGCAACGAATGGTACCAACACGAGATGAAGATGCATCGCAGAGAGTATTTTTGCAACGCTTGTCACGAGACATTATCCTCCCACGCAAAATTCCAGGAACACCTCCGGGAAAAGCATTCGAATCTCTTCAACCCTGACGAGCTACAGACCATCCTCGATAGGTGCGAGAGACTAACACAGTCGGAACAGCTATGTCCGCTGTGCCCAGAAAAACACTCCTTAGAGCGACTCCGGCGACACCTGGGAGGCCATCTGAAGCAGATTGCCCTATTTATTCCAATGCCTCGCGACGATGAAGACGCAGAGAAAGCAGAATCTGTCGGTGCAGAGGCGGATGAGTCTCAAGATTGTCATAGGTCTGGAAATGGAAGTTCATTGGACTTTGAATCGAACCCAACTCGTACCAGCGCTCCGGACTGGCCGGAGGGCCGTACAAACATCCTCGAAGATGACAACCACCTCACTCCCGCCGCCGCCGCCGCCGCCGACGAAATAGTTAACATCTCCGAGGACCATCGGGATTACGAAACAGCTTTGGAGTGGCACCAACGGGCGTTGGATGGCTCCGAAAAGTTACTGGGCAAGGGCCATTCTTCTACTCTCGAGTTCGTCCAAAGTATTGCGAAAGTCTTCTACGCCCAAGGGGATTACGAAACAGCTTTGGAGTGGCACCAAAGGGCGTTGGATGGCTCCGAAAAGTCACTGGGCAAGGGCCATCTGGGCTCTGAAGGAAATTCTTCCTCTAATCACCATCCCAGCCCCCATCACCTGCTTCTGGCGAGCGCATGATCATGCGGTCCGGCCATGTCGACGTTATTTTCTGGAATCGGTTGGAAGCTTGTAAGCCTTGCGACTGATGCAGGATTGAAGGTGAGTCATTATATGTGACCCCATTGTTGACGTCCGGGATAGCGCAAAGTCTCCCCAATTCTCAAATAAGGGCGAGAAGACTTGCGCCGTAGGCGGCATGAATAGCGAATGGGAACGGCTAATCTCGGGGTAGAGCGTCAGCCACTGTGGCGCAGAAACATTTCCCTCAAGTGATGCATGGTAACTATGTCCTCACCGCGCTCTGAAAAATTGAATGGACTGCAATTATTCCATAGACGGCAGGACATCCCGGCGTTCACCTAGAAGAGCCTTGGGACCACAGTAGAGACATGGCAAATACATCCACCTCTCCGAGTCACTACTTGCCCGGGCGGGGGTAAAGAATTACGGATGTTAAGATAGCGAAGATTCCATCTATTTTGGGGATGGTATTGGTCTTATGCCCTTTGGAGAAAATAACGTGTTCACAGTGGATGTGGGCGACGTAAAAGCCGTCGTCACGTGTGAGATCAGATTGCCATCAAATAAATTCAATTTCTTACGAAAGCAGTGCGCTAGTCTGCCCTATCGAAGAAGATCTATCACGGCACTATACCCTCCCTCCTCCTAGACCGCCTTGGTTATTCTCGCGAGATCGCCGCAAGTGACGGGCACAGCATACCCGTACATGCGATGGTTACAGCGAGGCAACGATAAGTGTAATACCACTTTTTCAGACGGCTCCTTTGCCAGCACCCTGCAGGCCGGCGGCGGGACGAGAGGGGAGCACACACAGAATAAAGAGGAGATAGAATTAGATCGTCTCCCTATTCAGTAAATGATGATCGAGAGAGAAGAAGATGAAGATGAAGAAGGCAACCCCGCTGGACCCATTCGGTGACGTAATCCTGGAAGCAAGACGGCGAAAATGAAAGATGATGAAGAAGTTGAGGTTTTATTCAAGTTCGAAGAGCCATCTACCTACTCTGATATGGCTCTCCTCCGCTGCCTACAACGTTCGGTGTCACTCAATCCGGCTAGTCCGGCTGACACCGCCATTCGGATCCAAAACTGCATGCATCAAGCAGCTGAGAGTGGGGACTCCGCGACAGCGGTGGGGACGACACCGGCAGCACAGGTCGATCTCCATCTCTACCGTATGCAAATGTAATTACCTTGAATCTACTTGTTACGATGCATCACCAAGCGATGCGGCTATCGTAATAGGATCGACATTGACGCGGAGCGCTCACCACAATCAAAAACTGTACATACACTCGTATGCAAATTCCACAACGTCCCCGTAAAGTTCTGTGACAGCGACTTTAAGCTTCACGGACGTGTCTTGATAGGTACATACTATGTACTCGTAACTGCTCTAGAGTCTAGATCACTTCAAAGGTGACCGGACACGCTAGTGAGCAGCACAGCGTTGAGGAATTCAGCCCTACCACTATTAGCCTGCCTGGTCACATCCGAAGTGATCTACGATTCCATAGGCTACTCCAGTGACAGTCGCCTCATGAAGGCGTGTCCCATCTTTATCTAGTAGATGGTATCGCGGTCCGCGCTGCGACTGTTTTGTTACTCTTCGCCACCACCATTACTCTGTCCGGCTTCTTTGTGGACGGGAGACGGTATGTACTTGTACATACGTCTTTTCCTTTGTTCCTTGTCGCAGCCCATTCCTTGGGTTGCTTCCATTTCTCCTCCGTCGCTTCTCGTCTGCGCTTTGCCAGTGGCTTCGGTAGCGGATGGTCCGTGCTGCCATATTCCGTTGCGTTCCGGAAACTCTTGACTCCTCGGCCGTCTGCCTCTTCAGGTGCCTTTTTGCGCGGTCGTCTGCCTAGCGCGAATGGAGCGAACTCGTGTGAGAGCCCAAACCTTGTGCTGCTGCGGTTGGTGTGCAAGGACAGAGGTGTCTACGGGTTCTAGATGAGCTGCAAGACAACGGGTTGACGGGGCATGTTTCAAATACCGGTAGTAACTGCTGTGAAGAGAAGCGATGTCAGCACGGATACCTGTGCGCCGACATATGATTGAGTGGATACAATCCGAAGGCGGTGGATGTGGGAAACCGATGACGGATATGTGCAACTTTGTGTAGGTGGCCGGATTCAGCTTCAAGACGGGAACATGGAATGGTAGACAACATCTGGCGTGAGCAACAATTCGGTGAGATCCTGTTGCCGCTGCCGCTCGGCGTGTCACACTGCATAACACGGGATGCAGAACACGGGATGCAGAGCCGTGTAGTCGGCTGCCTCGTCCGCAACCACCTGCCTAGAGCCTCGCCGGTCCGACTACCCCGCACCGGGTATTAACTTATAAGTCGGCACGCTTGTCGCGTCCGCGTTGTGTATGAAGTCTACACTGCCCGCTCCCACACCTACCCCACGCCATCACAGTTGAAGATACCTACAGCAATCATGTCCGCCGGCACCACGAACCCAGATCTCGAGCTCTTTTACCGCCAATTCCGAGCAACACAGCTAGACGCGTCGCCGACGAGTAGACGCGACAACTGGCCCGCCTACCGGTCACAGCAGTCGCCAGCGCTCGCTCACGGATATGGCAATACCGGCCATGCCCCCACCTCCAGCACGGCCGCGCGATCCGCAGACTTTTGCAAGGACTGCAATCGCAGCTTCGCAAGTCCTGGAGCGCTGCAGATGCATGTCGCCAGCTCAAAATTCCACAGAAACCCTCGACAGCGGCAGTCCGAAGTGGTCCAGGAGGTGATGGGGTCTGCGCCGAACACTTCCTTGGCAATTTCGCGGCCCGCCGCAACCGCGAACGCCGCCTCGTCCAACGCGCTATACACCGGTACACTGCTAATGCTAGCGCCCGAGGGACCATCAGTGTCACACGACTGCGATGTCTGTGAGCGCGAATTTAAGAATCCCGCGGCACTGCAGGCTCATATTAATCACTCGAAGTTCCATGAGAAGTTGGTAAGGCAGCAGCGCCCCTCACAGCCGGCGGTCGCTTCAGTATCACAGCCTGTTCCGATCGTGGATGAATTTGCGAGTGTTAGCGTCGTCCGTGGCATCGATAGTCTCAAGCATGGTAACAACAACTGGACCGTCGTCCCAGATTCACAACAGGCAGAAGCACTACAAGCACTCAAAAACCATTGCCATTCCACGATCGATCTCCTGAAACACAATTACGTCCTCAAACCGGTCACCGCCGAAGACATCGACGATCTTCGCAAGTGCAAGAATTGTGGTGGTAAGTTTCAGATCCATCGACCCATCATCCGACGCACGCTCATCTTCTAAACGCACCTGCCAGACCGTAAGAAGAAAGCAAGCTATCCCTGTATCTTCCACCCTCCGCAACGAAAACCCGCTGTGAGTACCCCTTCGCGGCTGAGCACCTGGCGGAAATTCTTGCTGACACGGTCCCACCACGCAGCCGAAGCGAAACAGCAACAATGGGCTACCTCCGTCCTGCTGCGGCCAGCGAGGCCGTGGCTGCAAACAACTTCCCGTCCATGATTTCGGGCCTGCGGACAGGCGGTCATTGAAGAAATTCAGAACGTACGCACGCACCCCCGCCGCATCCTACCCGCAGACGTCCAAGCGCCGCGCCGTGACGCTGGACTGCGAGATGGCTGGCGTCGCGAGGGGCCAGGCCGAGGTGATTCTGCTCTGCGCGGCCGACTACATGACCGGCGAGACGCTCGTCAACAGCCTTGTGCGCCCGACCAGCAGGGTCGTCGACTGGCGCTCGCGGTTCAGCGGCGTAACGGCGGAAGCGATGGCCACCGCCACAGAGCAGGGCGACACTTTGGATGGGTGGCGAGGCGCGCGCGCCGAGCTGTGGAAGCACGTCGACGCGGACACGATCCTGGTCGGCCATTCGCTGCAGCACGATCTTGACGTTCTGAGGATGATACACACCCGAGTGGTCGACTCGGCTATCCTGGCGAGAAACGCTGTCGGCTCCGCTCGGCAATGGGGCCTCAAAGCGCTGTGCGGGGAATTCCTGGGCATCGACATCCAGAACGGCGGACTGAGAGGTCACGATTGCATGGAGGACGCGCTGGCTGCTCGAGAGGTTGTGCTCTGGTGTCTTCAGAACCCGTCATTGTTGGCAGGTTGGGGAGAGATGGTAAATGAGCAGGAGGAACGGAAGAGGCAGGAGGAGGCGGATAAGAGGGAGAAAATGAAGATAAAGACGGAGAGGACTTTACCCAAGGCGGGAGAGGAAGGCCAAGGGGATGGAATGAGGGGGGGAAGCAGCAGCGCCGTGGGGGGCAACGGTAATGGTAAGATGAAGAAGCAACCGAAGGCTATACGGCCTAGAGACATCGACGATGTTGAGTACTCCTCAGACGAAATTGAGATATTAAGGTGGGCGGACATTGCGGAGGATTTGGGGTATCCGCATCCCGACCATTATGACCCTTGGTCGGACTAGGATAGCTAGGTACTCAATGTGTTATATGATGATGATAGTACGGTCAAAGGGGATTGGGGGGGGGGGGATGGATCTGCGGTATCGATGTGATATTAAGACCAAAGAGATAATTCGGTGACGCACTATTTTTACCAAATACAAAGAGGAGTAAGCAAAGTGCGGGAACACGTCTTTTCAGACAATGGACCGCTCGTTAACACTCGAGTCTCGACATGTTGCATCCGTCTAAACGTTGCGGGTTGCTCCCCTTATCGTGGAGGGATCACTCTTTGTTTGGTGGCCAACCCGCTCTTTGTTTGGGGGCCACGTGACTCTCTGCACTGCATCAACTCATTTGTCTATAGGTTTTTCTAGCGCTTGGAAAACAAATCGATGGGCGAGCCGGAAGTAAAACAAATAGATGTATAGAATTGTCTTTCATATCGGACACCAAGATGTCAGATACCGAAAGCCTACTGCCACATATCGCAATAGAACCGCTACCTCTCAAGTGACATATCGCTATATAATGACTCGATCGTTGACTTCTTCGAGCGACAATCTTTCCTGTGCACTCCAACATCCCGCAGTGCACTGACTCCGATAGCGAAATTTAGCCTCAAGAAAAACTCCGCCGGATCTCAACCCTCCGCCGTCACGACCCTCGCCACCATGGCATCTGACCTTATTCCGACGATCACAATAAGCAGCCCGGAGAGCAGCCCCTTTAACGATGAAACTGACTGGGAGGCACAATGGCAAACCGAGAACAAACACATGTATCAACCCGGAGGATTTCATCCAGTCATCATCGGCGATATTCTCAACGACCGCTACGTGATCGAAAATAAGCTCGGCCACGGTGGTTTTTCGACGGTTTGGGTTGCTGTCGATACACTTCACCAGGATAGACTCATCGCTCTAAAGATTTCCTATGATGTCTCGCAGCAAGGTCAACATACTACCACCGAAACCCCAATGGATCGAGAGGCTGAGTTTCTTCGCCGCTTGGGCTCCAGCCATCAACATCCACAGCGGTCTAGTGAAGTGTTGTACTTCCCGCTCCTGTTCGACGCGTTCACCATCCATGGCCCAAACGGGGTCCACCGCTGCATAGTGACTGAACTGCTGGGCCCTTACCTCTCGCACTTTTACCCTCGGAGATTACACATAGACAGTGGCAGCGGCTCTCAGTACCCACGGCGAAAAACGTGGTCGTTAGCATAGCGCGCGCGGTAGCGGAGCTGCACAGGCATAGTATCGTTCATGCGGATCTGCACCCAGGCAACATCCTCATGGTCGTACCGGGCATGGAATCCTGGACGGTCACCGAGTTTCGTCGCCATATGGGCATGCCGATGAAGCGGTTCATGAGCGACGAGAGCCCTTGGTTTAAGTGGCTGCCGTCTCCGAGCCCACACGTGCCGGAATACCTCGTAGTGGACGCACCTCTCCCTTTTCTGGGGGCGCTCTGCCGCAACTCTGGCGCTATCAAAATAACGTGAGCACAACTTCACTCGGAAAGTTTTTATTGCGGCTGCGGCTGCTGTTGCCACCACTCTGCTAACGACGGAATAGGGACTTCGGCATGGCGTTCGACTTCCGCAAGGACGGGACAGAATTAGGCGAGCTAGAGAGAAGAAGGACTACAGTCTGCCGTGCTGGCGAATTGAGAACGGATACCTTACAGGGCCGGGAATGGACTGGGACACTAGGACACTGCTAGTGGTGTGGTGCCGTTGTCCCGGCCATCTGGTAGTTTCTATGAGTCTCTTCAGTACGTTCCTGGCCTAGGAATGGTGCTTAGCTCACGTTGCTGGCGTGAAATCTCTATGAATGGTCCCCGGAATGCCCACATGTCTGCATCGGCTTCGCACCCTCCACAACCACAGCATTGAGTGCCATGGCGTGGCAGGCGGATGCATTTTTGATGTCCTTCCGCCGAAGTGCTGACCTGCTGTTGCCCGTGTCGTCCGCCCAATTGCCGACCTGCTTCCGCCGAGATACTGACCTGTTTCCGCCGATGTTAACCTGCTTCCGCCGAATTGCTGACCTGCTTCAGCCGAGATGCTGACCTGCTTTCGAACCGATTGCTGACCTGCTGTTGCCCGTGTCGTTCGCCGATATGCTGAACTGCTTCCGCCGATGTTAACCTGCTTCTGCCGAGATGCTGACCTGTTTCCGCCGTTGTTAACCTTCTTCCACCGATATGCTGACATGCTGTCGAACCGATTACTGACCTGCTGTTGCCCGTGTCGTTCGCCGATATGTTAAGCTGCTTCCGCCGAATTACTAACCTGCTGTCGAACCGATTGCTGACCTGCTGTTGCCCGTGTCGTCCGCCGAATTGCCGACCTGCTTCCGTCGATGTTAACCTGCTTCCGCCGTGATGCTGACCTGCTGTTGCGCGTTTCGTTCACCGATATACTGACCTGCTTCCGCCGATATGGTGAACTGCTTCCGCCGGTTTGCTGACCTGCTGTTGCTATCGTCGCTGTTGTTGCTGTTGTTGCCGTTACCGCCATCGCCATTCAATTAATTGGTTTCCCACCCGGTCGGTGTAACTAGCATAGTCTGAGCAATCTGTACTTATCTGTTGTACAGGAACGAGTTTTTGTCGGTGAAGATCGTAGTATTAGGAGGATTTGAAGTTGTGTAGGAAGGAAGGTGGGAAGGAGAAAGGCGGAAGGAGAAAGGTGGAAGGAAGATGGGAGGAAGATGGGGGAAGGAGAACGGCGGAAGGGGGGTGGAACCGTGGAAGGAAAAATGTGGAAGGAGGAGAACGGTGGAAGGAGAAAGGTGGAAGGAAGGTGGAAGGAAGGTGGAAGGAGAAAGGTGGAGGGAAGAAAAAAATGATGTGTGTGTAAGAAAGGAGGAAGAGGGGTGAAAGGAAGAAGTGAGATGTGTGGGAGTAGGAGAAGAGGAGGAGTGGTGAGAAGAAAGCTCCTGTCTTATACTTCTTTCCGCACGAGTTAGGGCTACACCTTTATTTGCTAGTGGGGTCGATTGCCATCTGATAATACCGCTAACGACATGATTGCGTCGTGCTAGATCTGTTATCTGGAGACTTAGTATGGTGGATGGATAGTGCGAGTGAGAAGTAGAATACCAGTTTACTTCGCGATGGGTGCGAGTGATGTGAGGATATTGCGTTTACTCATCCGTTACGCCAGCGACGCAGTGAGGCCGCCCGAGTCCCGGCGCTCACCTCGCTACAGTTTCGCACATGCAAACCTAGTCTCGCAACCTCAGCCGCCATGTACCGCACCGAGACGGAGGGATCTGCTGGGACTGTAACGAGATCGGCGAATTTGCACCTCCCGAGTCCATTTTTGGTTTTTGTTTCTTCGTTGCTCGCATGTATTCTGACTAAGTAATTACTTGCTTGTATGTACCTAGAGTTTGGCGAGACGTTCTCCGGGTAGATATCCTGTCTGGTTTCTATGATAGGTACCTGTAGGGTATCTGGGCATTTCATCCTCCGGGCGGGACGGATCAGTCCTCTGGAAAGCCTGCCTGGGACAGGACGGAACTACACTCCACTAGTCGGCTGTAGTTCGGACGGACTGTTGACCGCCCTGCTGCTACTTTCCACTGTCCTTTGCATACCGCCCTCATTTCCTTCGTGGCTGCTAAGCATTGTCTATGGCTTCTCATCAGAATCAGCCTCGTCAGCTGAACGCCTTGCAAACCCCCAGCCCAGTCCGGCGACGACTATCGTCGAATCCTCTGTCTGAGGCCCGGCCTTCTCGTCGTCTACACGAACTGGTTTCCCTTATAAGCAGTCTTCTTTCCCTTCTTTCCCGTATCAATACATCAATCAAGTCAATTTCTTCTCTCAATTCCAACACTGCAGGCGCGGAGGCCGGAAACGGAGAAAGTAAATATGGTTAAAGCCAGATACCTGATCTGATAGCGTCGCCGAGTACATAGAGTGCCGGATATGCGCAAGTACTACTTCTGATCGTCTCACTTCCCAAGCGGAGGTGCACGGGTTGAGTGCCATAGTTAACCGTTGCGCTGTTATCACGGATTGATGATTGAGGATTGAGGAGCTTATTCAGCCGCGCGCACCGCAGGGCCTCAGGCTCACATGTGACATGTAATCGAGTTGTTCCAGCTGAGCGAATGGGGGTTACTTTTCTCTCCCCACTATGTAGCAGCAGGGAGAATCAACTCCTCTGCCCGGTCAAAACTCCGTGCTACCGTAACCGGGGGAATTCCGAATAAATCATATTCGCACACACTGCAGACTCCGGAGCGAGTCAATTCGCCCCGTGCTCCGGGTGCGTGGAATGATCGCCTACATACGGTGTTTACTGAGCCAGCGTACAGCCGGTTTGATGACGCGTGCACTGCTCAGTCTGTGCGCACTGCGCAGTCGATTCTCGGGTTTGCGGCTTGCCGGGGGTGCATGGGCGGGGTCGCTCTCGCTTAGGTAGTGATCGCCTCCGCCAACGAAAGTACGCCTTGGGGACAGGCATTTGGAATCCTGGTTGTGAGTACATCCATCGTGTTCCGGTGGGGCGGGGTGCGGGGCATATCCAGATGTCTAAGGAAGTTCGGTTCGTGGCAGCGGTTACTAACTTGCGATTTTGCTGCTGGAGTACATTCGCGCTGAATTGTTATCGTTGGTTTCGGCATTTGTGCGGAATGTTGGATGGTACAAATACCTGCATCCACCAATATAGAGTCCACAACCCAGATGGCCTATGGGGCGTGCACGCAAGAGGCGGTGCTCGACACTCACACCATGGATGGCGGCCCCGTAGCGCCATTAGTGCAGTTCGTATCGAATACGAGTCACAGAAGAAACCAGCGCATCTGCCAGAAAGGCTGTGCGAGTACATAAAAGAGTTGGCTTGCGACTGTTGCGAGAGTTTCGAGAGTTTGGGTCTTGTACGCTCGGCATACTCGGAATCTACGACTCCACTCTTCCATCACGTTTAACCGCACTCGGGTACGACGGCAAAGCTTCCACGCAAACGTCCATACTAGTCCTGTACGAGTCATCCAAGAGGGGGAACTCGCCATATCCATTGTCACCTTCTCGAACAACCGCTCGGTTCGGACACAGCTGCTATCCGGTTTGTGTCTCCCCTCGGCAGCCCCTACCGTGAATGAAAACTAAACGCTTCCAGAACGATGACCGCCACCGCAACGCTATTGGTGACTTACTCTCCGCCGCGAATGTTGGCCCAGCAACCGGTGGTCGAGATGGAGCCAGGATGGCGTCCGGAATCCGCACACCGAGGGACTCTCGGCATCTTGCTGCCTTGTCTCATCACTTTCGGCCTCTGCGTCTGGACAGCTGTCCACCTGAACATCAACCCTCAGCCTACAAGGATGCGGCTGTTCCTGTCCAAGCTGGGATGGCTATGTCTGGGAATGGTTGCGCCCGAGGCTGTCCTCTGGTGTGCCCACGATCAATACTTTGAGGCACGTGCGATCCGGGAGGCTATCATGAAGATACAGAAAGACCACCTGGGGGTGGCAGAGCCAGACTTCAGCATGCACTCTGCCTTCTTCGTTCTCATGGGCGGATATGTTGTCCATCCCACGCCCGGCGAGTTTCAGGGGCTCCCGGTGACGTTGACGCCGCATGGATTTGCGCTGTTATATGCGCAGGGGGACGTCAAGCAGGAAGACCTAGATGGCCGGCTGATTGAGGACAAGTCGCGTGGCTACGGGCTAGCTAAATTCGTTGTTTGTGTCCAGGCTCTCGTAAGTACATAAATACTCTGGCAGCCTCGCGGGTCCTCTCGAAACGCGAGCGGTCCGGCTAACAGATCCAGTGGCTCCTCCTGCAATTCTTCGCGCGCTTGATGAGCGAACTGCCTATCACGCTACTCGAGCTGAACACGGTCGTACACGTGCTCTGCGTCCTGCTCACCTACACGTACTGGCGGCACAAGCCGATGGATATCCGGTATCCCGTAGTGCTGCACCTCGACGCGAAGCTGGCTGCAGACATATACTTTTCGTTCGACGGGGCGCCGAGCGGCAGCACCAAAGAGTCCTCGGAAGATGCTCCGGCTCCACCCGATGCGGCTTCCGGCCTCGAAACGCGGCACGGAGCCCTTCGCACGGAAGATGAAAAGTCGGCCAGTGCAACGCCGAACGTCTCGCCCGACCTCGAAAAACAGGACTACACCCTTCACACCGAAGCCGTAGCACCGGACACGGAATCCTGCGAAGCAGTGCAGAAGGCCGTGTTAACCCCAACGGGAGTAGACAGCATCAGCTTCTGGTCACACTACTCGGCCTTCGCCGAAAAACCCAGCGATCTTGGACTTCCCGAAAAGCTCCCGTTGCAACCTCTGTGCTCACGGGCACGAATGTTGAAGCGCGAAGGCAGCCTGCGCCTCGAGGCGGACCGGGAACAACGGTTTTGGGGCTTCTTCGTATTTTTCGCGATGTCATACGGCGCCGCACACGCAACGGCGTGGAGCGCTCATTTGCCCACTTCCACCGAGCAGCTGCTGTGGCGGATCTCCGCGGTGGCTCTCGTTGCCGGGCCGCTGCTGTTCGCGTTCACAGGCCAGGGCCTGATTTGGATCGAAGCTGTGGAGGGGAAGATTGCGCGCAAGCTGGTCACGGTCTGTTTCAAACCCTTGGTGACCATTGCCGCGTTCGCGGTGACGCTCCTGATCATCTTCTCGAGGTGCTTCGTAGTCGTGGAGGCTTTCATTAGTCTCCGCAGCCTCCCAGTGGGCGCCTTCGATGTTGTGCCCTGGGCTAATTACTGGCCGCACTTGTGAGATCACCGTCGCGGATTATGCCACTTTCCTTCGTTTCTCGCTGTAGCCTTTCGTTGATGTATTTGCTAGTTTGCCAGTTTCATTTCAGTTGCTTTGGTAAAGATGTGCGCAATCTCTGTCTATCTATCTACTTGATACATTCCTACTAGTAGCATGTTTTGCAGATTTCCTGTAGCGGTGAATCGGGAGAGAGAGAGATCTTCAGTTTATTTCGCATGCAGCCTATCTAGACTATAGCTAAAAACGAAATGTGGTGAATCGGGAGAGAATTGGGAAGAAGAGCTTGCCAGCAGCCGGAGGGCTCAGTGTCAGTGACGGTTTAAGAAGAAGTGGCCGTATAATCAAAGCTGTAGCCTGGTACGAGCCTACGACAACTATCTGGTACATAACCGGGGGTGCGTCGCGACTCGGAGCTCGAAAGGATGCAAAGTCATTGAGCTGAGGATGCAGTTATTTGCAATAATGTTCTTGGAAGCGGGGGCGGTAGTCTTGGGGGGCGACAGTCGTGGGGGTGAATATGATAGTAATGGCAGCCATAGTCCCCGTTGATATGTAATTCGTGGTGGTGGATTCGAATGGGTTTTAGTTGCGACTTTGTCGTGGTGGGGGGGGGGGGGGGGGGGTTGTCGTCCGATTTATGGCGGGGGAGGAAAAAGGAGGAATAAGAGAAATTAAGGGGAGCAGCGGGGAGAAACATCTTGAGGAGTAACCTCACGATGTCCTTGGAAGTTGGAACTGAAACGCCGCTGAGAGTCGTTATTGAAGCTTGTCGCTTCTAACGATGCATGAGGCGTCACTCGATGTGCGAGTGATGACTTGTGAAGCGCCGCTCGAGAACCGCGGAGGTCGTATGCAATCAGTGGAATAATAATGGGGTACAGCTATAAGGTTCGAGCGCGACGGCATGCAGTCAAAACGTTCGAGAGGAGAAGTATATACCGGTAGGTAACCGAGACCAAAAGCTGGTGGTACAGTGTGATTTTCCCGCTCTGCCAGCTTGAATACCTAGAACTTCAACTCTCCACCACCCTTCATTTTCGCCGTTCCCTTCCCGGGCTACTTCACAGATCCTCTATGACTAGAAATTTATGAGATGAAGAAGTATTTTAAACGGTCAATCCGAAGTCTGATATAGGTAGTGAAAACTTTCCTAATGCTAAGGCTTTGGCGCATCTGGTATGTCCGGAAGTGCTCTAGCACCGAAGAAGGAATCACGCTGAACGGTTGATTAGTGATCGACGCGGGACGGGACGGGACGGCCCTGGCCGAAACAAATCCTCATGCACAGCCCCATCAGATCGTGGCCCAAGTTTTTAGCCACGAACTAGTGCCTCGCTAAACCGCCATTCACCGCCACGAAGCTACATGTGCGGGTATGTAGATGGAGCCTGCGGAAATATAGTAGTACTAGCGCACGTGACATTTCTGGGGCGAGTTTATTGTCACAACTTTCAGTATACCTACCTAATGTTGGTTGTCTACATGCTGTAATCGAAGCACCTACTAATAGTACTATCAAGGCAGATTCGCAGGCGCGGGACAGCCAATAGCCATGGTATTTTTTCTGTATTGTATATTTTTCGGTCGCTTACCTTCTTCACTTCGTTGCGTGTAGAGTATGTCCTTCCAGTGAAGGATACACCGGCGCCAAAGAACCTGGTTGGCCTCGTTCATCACACACACCAACCACATGCAATCATCTCTGCTCTCCTACAAGTTTTAATTCAGCAAGCGCTTCAGCGGAATTCCCGGTGACACTTCTCCATTAATCAACCGGAGGGCAGCCATGCGATTTTGAACGTGTGTCAACTACATACCAGTCGAGCACAGAACAAGACGCAACAGAAAAAAGCTACAAATGACGTCCCCGCTGTGCACCTTATCGTTTACTCTGCGAACATAGTAGAACGTGGTAGAGGGAACTCCGCCCTGTGGTTTCTACAAGGAATCCTTCCGGCCTCGGTGGGAGCAGATAAAACTGGGAGGTAAATCAGATCAATGCATCCCCCACGGACAGGACAGATCCCGATGAGCTCTATTTTGAGACACTTGCGTGACTAGGGGCAGTAGTGTCCAGCCTTGACCAGTAGATAGTCGAAAACATTTGCTACGATTGAGGGGATGTCACTGATGTGAAGTGGGCAAGAGTACAAACTACATAGTTGGCGTATGAGGTGTCAGCACACCCGCAGCATTGTACAGCTTCTCGGCGCTACAGTGGTTTTTCAACCAGGCATGTGTGGAACACGTACGTACCCCGAGAAGAAAGCAGCCTGTATGGAAAAACGAGGTTCAACTATAAGAAGTTGGGCTCTTACTCCCAGAGAGTGATATCTCTTGAAACCTCTGTCAACTCTCCAATAGTCAAGTCCGCATCCAGCCCCTCGGTCGATACAAACGGGCCCAGCAACGAAACGATAGATTCTAGTGCACACGAAAGTCTTCAACCTATTCAAGGAAAACAGCTACCCAGGGGACGGCCATTCGGGTAGAAAGTCTGCGGAGCCTCCGATATCGAAAAGCCACCCACGCCGGGAGAGAGTCGAGTGCGGCGAAAGGAGCAAGCAATTTGTACCTACTTCACCGACGGCAAGTTGCTACCAAAACTAAGCGCGGCCAGAATGAGAGCCATCGTCACGCTATTACTTGTGGCTATCCATGCCCGGCTGGCTTTGGCATTGCCAGTCGTCGAAACAGAGCCATCGTGGGGATCGGAACCTACGCGACGGGGGACCATGGGCATCTTGCTTCCGTGCCTCATTACCCTCGGTCTCTGCGTGTGGACGGCAGTACACCTAAACATCAACCCGCAACCGACTCCGGGGCGGTTACTCCTGTTCAAGCTGGCCTGGCTGCTGCTGGGAATGCTCGCTCCGGAGTTTGTCCTCTGGTGTGCCTACGATCAGTTCATGGAAGCCCGCGCGATCCGGAACGTCATTCTGAAGATACAGACGCACCGACTGAATTTCGCGAAGTTAAGGGGGACTAAAAATCAGGACGAGCGGATCGAAGGCTTTGACATGAAGGCCGCGTTCTTCGTTCTCATGGGCGGATATGCCGTACATCCCGGGCCTGAGAAGGTTTACGGACTCCCGGTGACTTTGACGGCCCAGGGCTTTACTCTCTTGTACGCACAAGATGAAATCAATGTTACCGAAGATCTTGAGCCACGGTTAATCGAGGACAAATCCAAGGCCGATGGTCTGGCCAAGGTCGTTGTTTGTATCCAGGCGCTGGTAAGGTTGAATCCATACTACTTTCTAGGAGGTGCAGAGAGGTCAACTAGTACTAACACCTGCCAGTGGCTCGTAGTCGAGGGAGCTGGGCGCTTGACGAGTGGATTACCCCTCACTCTACTTGAACTCCACACCATCATGCACGTTCTCTGTGCCGTGGCGATATACGCCTTCTGGTGGCACAAGCCGATGGATATCCGGTACCCCGTCTTACTGCACCTCGAACCGAGTCTGGCGGCGAGGATATACCGTTCGTTCGATGGAAGTCGCAACTACGGCGCACCAGATTTCGAAATACCGATTTCCGGCCCTCACACGGAAGATGCGGTGGCGGATGTGCTGGTAGCCCCCGAAGTAAAGGACAACGTTTCCCCTCATAGCGAAGACGCGGAATTGGCGCGTGCCGACACGAAATACCCTGACCGGCTGGAAGCCAACCGGGTTCGTGCACGCATGCACCGCATCCGGGTTGCCGGGGGCTACAACATCTTCAACTTTTTTGGCTGGCGCGACTCGTTCTGTTTATGGCCGCCAGCCAGTGGCGACTCCAAAGCAAGGAATAGATGGCAGGATTACGACATTCGATCCAAGGGGGCTTTTAGCCTCATGCCCGAGGACATCGGCTTCCACGATGCCTCTTCGCGGGAGAATGCCTGCGTCCGGGCGCGTATGGTGCTGAGGGAGGGCTCCGTGCGATTCGACGACGACAAGCAAGGCTCGTGGTTGGTTCTGGTGGCATTTGCTGTGGCTTATGGCGGGGCGCATGCCTCAGCGTGGAATACGCACATGCCGAGTCAGATCGAGCTGCTGCTCTGGAGGATCTCCTCGGTTGCGGTCGCGGTGGGTATACCTCTGGGCTTAGGCGCTTATCTGTGCGCCGAGAAGCTCGATCGTTATTTCTATACGAGGACCGGACCGGGGCGCTTGGTCAAGTGCATGAAGTGGCTAGGCGGTGGTGACTGTGTCGTGAATACGGTGTCCTTGTGTTTCTGTTTTCCGCTTCTCCTCTTCGTCCTTGTTGCGAGGGGCTTCATGGTAAGCGAATCCTTCATCAGTCTTCGAAGCCTGGAGAAGGGCTCGTTCGACGTTGTTCCATGGAGCAACTATTGGCCCCACTTCTGAGACTAGGCTGAAGACTACCTATTCTCTTTCGTTTACTGCGGTGGGAGGTTCTAGGTCTCGGCTCCTCGAGCTCTCTACGTCTCGTATTTCCGTTGACATGGTTTCCTTTTTCATTTCATGTAAAATACACTACGTGTGGTGGTCTAAGGAAGAGGCATGTAGGTACGCATGCTCATGGGGTTGAGCGAGGGCAGTGCAATGACGGAAGGCTGCTCGATGGTGGTTGGGGAGTTCGATCCGCATGAAGGCGGTAGTCACACCGCCGCGGTCTCTGTGTCCATTATGCTAGGCACAGGTGCACGAGGAGGAGCCTGACGAATAGATCTGCACAGTCTCTGACGAGCTGCCTCGTTGTCCAAAGAAATTACGCGTAATTAGCGAGAAGAAAATTCGAAAATAGGACCGGCCGGAGAGAATGGAAGGTGAGATCGCAGAACGATCCTAAACCGGACATGACCGGGCAGAATTATCCAGGAGTATCGCTGCGGAATGTGATATAAAGAGTATCTAACCCTTTCGTTCGGAGAATCACTCGCCGGTCTCCGTCCGAGGATTTTACACGCTAACGTTGCACGCTTACCTAAACTCCCCAGCGTTAGCCGGTTCAATCACGAGCGCCGGTAGAGTATGGACTAACCATACCCGGCTATAACTCATATAATATGACTCGCATCACTTTACAGACGGATATTATTTTTCTCATTCTGTTTTCATTGTATTTGATCTTATTGTATCATCGTAGATGAGATACACCGTATTATCTCCACCGTCAAAGACGGGTCACGATAGAGGAGGTTTTAATTATGCATTTAGAGGTTGCGGTGTGTCGAGTGATATATCAAGATTCCATCCTTCCTCTCCCTCTTGGCGAGTTAAGAGTCAATAGGGCTTCAGGCAGTTATTGAAAGGGCAAAGGATTACGTAAATAAGATCGAAAAAGCGAGACGGAAGTGGAGTGATGTCAAAGGCATGGTTTTGTAAATTAGACAACGGCCGCAAACAATTCACTCGCTTTGCCCCCAGATCCAGGTTTAAGTAGGAGGGCATAGACCACGACGAACCATGACGGCTAGCAGTTCGCCAATCCCGCCTTCGATCGAATAAGTTCTGCTGCGGGAAGAGGATGGCTATGTACGACACGCCGCCACAGCACACAATGGACATCTCGAGCCTCTTCGGAGGCTCACTTTTAGATCTAGGGAGGATAGAGTAGAGAGATGTGGACTGTCATTTCTGTTTCCGGTGTTCGGTGGGGTAATTTCTGATTCAAAGCGGTAAGCGAGAGAGGCTTGGAGAGGACGATTGGTCAGGAGGAAGATACCGTCCTACAGCAAAAAGACGAATTGTAGTTCGTAATCTCTCACAAATCACCATAACTCACTTGGATGTCGCACGTTGTCCGACACAACGAAGATGATGAAACCATGTATTCTGGAAGCAAAGGGTGAGACTGGATCTGGTACCATGTATCACGTTCCGCATATTACTTGCCGAAGCCGTTGTATATACATCGTTCCCGTAATTGTCGGCAAGGATCGCTGATCCTTGCACCGGCCCGCCCCCGCGCACCCCCGCTTTCTTAAATCAACGTACACACAGCTTTACAAGCATCACTCGTGTCCTCCCGCAGCTCCTCCCGCCGCGAGGACCTAGCCCGCCCATATCTCCAGTCAGTTTTATACATTTCGGTGCTTCACGTTTCCACTGCTCGCCGTGCGACGACCACCGAGACACAAATTCCCGCCATGAAACCGCGTATCACACAAAGTCCCGCACCCGCAAAAAGTAAAGAACTAGGTACCTATGGCAGCCATAAGCGCCTCAGGATCCGCCCTCCTTCTGTGGCACCACCTCCTCTCGGACGACGGCACGCCAAACCCCTCCCTCTACTTCCTCGCAGACTCGCTATTCACGCACTTCGCACCCTCTGCCACCAGTACGAGCACTAGCGCGATGTCGCTGACATCACTGTCGACATTCTACACGAGCATGCGCGCACATCCCCTCACGAACCCCACGCTCCTAGGAGATATGGTAGACATCGAGCACGTGTTCCGGCACGTGGGCTGGGAGCACATCGTCAACCCAGCGGGGATACGGCACACGCGGGACGGGTTCGTAGCGCTGGTGCGGGACCTGGTGGCCGAGGATCCCGAGAACGGATACAAGGATTTCAATCTGCTCATTTTCGTGCTGTGAATCAGGTTGCCTGGGATTCCGAGAGGGGCTTTCCCGAAGGAGGGTAGAGGTGGAAGGATCGTGGGAGTGGCGATCGAGAATGTGGTGAGCGGCAGGGGAAATGGGATGCCGTTGGGTCGGGAAAGCGGTACGAGGCCAAATAGCGAGGGCTGCACGAATGTGGGTAGCCGCGCGCGGGATGACGCAACAAGGGAGGAAGCTGGGTAGGAGAAAGACACGGCGATGGGGGAGGGAAGCTCGTTTGGGCGTAGCGAATGGGCGGAGGCGGGATACGAGTGGGGGGAAGGTAAGCAGAAGATGGGGAAAAGAGGGAGCAGTTCCTGCACGGCACCTAGCAAGCCGCCTAGCGAGAGGTTAGCCCCGCTTACTTCCCGCGAGGCCAGGCTCGTCCTCGATATCGTCCGGGCGGCGGACCGCCCTAAGGGTGTCGTCGTTTCCGCCATCAAGAGTTTGCTGTCGACGGAAATCGTCAACAGTGCTATGGAAGAGTTGCTGGGACTGGAATTTATATACAATACATTAGACAAGTACCACGTGGCTACGATCGATTATGTAGGATGGTGGGTTTGTTGAGGAGCGTGTGAATCGTAAGGTATATTAGTTGTTGCGTTTGGCTCGATCTTAGAAGTTTCGGCTTGGTTACTACACTCTCTGGCTCACCGGAGTTTGCGGTTAGCTGTGGCGTTAGTGGACAGAAGGATGGATAGTTGAAGAAATGGTAAATGTGAATCTTGAAGCTGCTATTAGTACTACCACACTGAGCTGAAATTATGGTTAGCACACATCTCTAGGGCACTGATCTTCTCACATCGCCGCAACCAGAATAGAACACACGCAATCAATATTGAATCAAAACCAAAAACTCATAAATTAGACCTAGTCCCATAAATTATGACAGTCAAAACTAGCTTTCCCCAATGGTCCCTTACCCTGGTCGATCCGCAGGGGGTCCGATGTGAGATCCCCCAGCCTCCGCCCTGGAATAAAGATCCCGCGCCATCAACATCTCCAACACGAAACAAAGATGTTGACCGAGTGCTTGTACGTGACGAATCTCGCTCCTTGATGATGCCTCCACCTAGCCTCCACCTTTCAGCTCCGTCTGCTGCAAATCTTCCTTCACTCCCCTCTATACCGGCGTTTCGACCACCGGCTCCCAATATCCTTCGTCTAGCCTCTGCCGGCCATGCTTCAAGCAGAAACTGAATTTGACATGCAAAAACTATCGGGGGTGCTGTGCGATGTGTGGTGTCCGAATTGGGCGTTTCTAAAAAAAAAGCAGATCGCAGATTCCTTTCTGGAGGGCCTTGTACATGGATAAATGCGCGATCGTTTGAAAAAATGCTGAATGGGCGTGTGTTGCTGGGGAATGATTATATAGAGAATCCGGCTTTTGTGTGTATTGGTGACGGTAATTAATTTTTTATTCGAACGCTAGCGCCGTCAAAGCTTTGCAGCTATAGAAACAAATATATGGTGATGTGGGTCGTGACTGGATGAGCATTTGACGCACTTTGTTGGTTGTATGATATGTACCTGGTTCGAAGGCAGAAACATACCTTTGTTCGCCGCAGTGATATTTAGTGATCACAGGCGATCATCCAGGTCTGGCTTAGTCTCACTCTGCTCGGCTGGTCGTTGCTGCCATGCCGACAGCGGCGTTGACCAAAGTCACGTATACTCTAAGTAGCTAGAGTGGGTCGCATTGAGATACGCAAAAACTTGATCAGGCAAAAATGGTGATGAATTATGTGACTGCCTGTGATGAGACCAAAAGTAGGAATAAAAGCAAGAACAAGAATACGATCAGAATATATGAACGTTGACCCTCCGCTTCGAGACTGGTCACTGACCCGGGTCACACTACGCTGTCTCCGCGGTATGCTCTGACAACAACAAGGTCTCGACTGTCTCCACACCCGTTCTGACAACAACAACGTTTCTCCATACCGCCATTCATCACTGCACAGAGGCGCCTCTACGTTCCCGCGCTCCTGGAGCATGCAACGAATGAATAAATCAGTTTGAGCTTGAACACAAGGCGGCGCTTCCACGAAGGATCCTCCGATCGATCCCGTCCGATATTTGAAGTCTTTTGTCTGTCGCTCGGTGGGAACCCCCGTACCTCGCATGAGCGAGTGTTGCGCACGCAGCCAAGACGAAAAATGGGGGTGATCTTGGGCGACGCAGTGACTGTCCTCCCAACCAACCCACGAAAAAGACTGGTATGACGGCTGGGCATACCGTTTCTCCTGCCCTGTCCGCAGCGCGTCACATGGACGTGGAGCGAATCGACCACTACCCAATGCCTGGTTTCGTGAAAGAAGCCCAAAAAGAAATAAGCCCACCGGAGGAAGTTTTAGCTATGTACCTATTCTGACCGTGCCACCCCCGCCCCATCTTCATCCCTCCATTCTGCCCATGGTACCTAAGGGGGATTTTTGAAGGAGAAGGTAAGTACTTGCGTCCTTGCAAGAGTGGCAAGCTGATATTCACCACTTTGCATCATTTTCATTATCACTCGCCAAGTTTATTTTAACCTCTAGCCACCCACAGCCCGGTGCTTATGATCGATTGGATAGGTACGGTACTTTGAACATTTACAATGTCTGTCCATTCTACCTGTAATGCAACAGACATCAATTCTCACGTACCGCCCTTCTACTCCTGCTGCTGGCTGCTTTTTCCTTCAACAAAGAGTTCAATGCCGCCGGTGAAGATACCGTATCTACTCGTAAATAAGACACAACCGCTAAGCATTCTGAATGAGCTTGCTGAGTGGAAACGGGTGGCACGAGCGCGGCGAAAGAGGGCTGTATGGTGCTTTGTACAAGAGATCGTGCTCAAATGGCGACGAAAGTGGTTACTGGACTTTCATTGCCACTCGGCAAGCTCATTCAGAATGTTGAGCGGTTGTGTCTTATTATTTACGAGTAGCTACGGTAATGGGGCCTCTGTTCGAGTAGAGTCGGTCCGGACCATGAACGTTCCATCGCTGACACAGTACACCACTCTTCTAGGAGGCCATCGAGCAGATCGGCTGCCACTGGCCGCTCCTCTGGGTCGAGTTTGAAGATTGACGCCAAAAACCGCCTGAACCACAGGAACTCCTCCTTCCGATCCTCGCCCAAGAGTTCCTCCACATCGCGCATGTTATTATCAAACCACTCGTGCCCCCTAGGGGTTATCTCATCCTTGCCTTCGGGCACCCCATGATATGTATCGAGCATCTTCGCCTTTATCTCACGGTTCTGGGTGGTGTTTTCGAATTCCGGGCTTTCCACATCGACCACCACCGTTGCGGGAGCCTGCCGAATAATTTGGTCATGTTTTCAAGCTCTCTGGGGCCGTCGAAACCACGCCATATCCCACTCCGTCCAAGGATCACGAAGGACATCAAGCAGCCGAGCGACCACACATCTCAGGCGGGGGTGAGCACATCGTGAACCGCCACCTCCGGAGAGGCATAGGCCCACGGCGGGTAAAACACCTTGGTGGCTGGGCCGTCTCGGGCAACCTCAAAAACGGACTGGACGGACGGTTGACCGCCCTGAGTAGCAGTGACTCCGGAACAGGAAATAAGACGCAAAATATCAACATGCAGCAGCTGGCAGCCGGAGCGTAAGAACCTATGAAGATCCGGCCCAGTGACCACTAAACAGGCGATGCCGGCGCGGGCGCACGGGGAAGAAGCCGTCGCATCGAGCGGTTGTGCTGAGAAGGTAATCGTTCTTACGTACTCTCGCGGCTTCAAGCTATCTCCCATCTTCACATCTACAAATCAACATCTGAGGCAGACTTGATTCCTCTCCAATTTTCCGCTGCAATTATGTACCTCGCCAACAGCGAGGTACAACCCCGACTCCCGAGTGATACATAACGTGACCCCTTGACGTATCCCGGCAAAGGGAACGGCGACAATGAAGTATGATGGAGAAGTTGAGATTGTTTTCAACTTCGAAGAGCCATCTTATATGGCTCTCATCTGCTACTACAAGCTACAAGCTGCCCTCCATCGTTCGGATCCACCGATCAGACCAGCCACTCCTCCGGCACCAGACACCTCAACCCCAACCCCAACCCCAACTCGGGCGCCGGGCAGAGTGATAGACTAGAACGCGGTGAGATCAAGAGCGGAGGAATTGGAGTACTGGCTACATAGTCGGCCGGAGATTCCGGCAAAGATACGCGGGAAGAGATGAGGCGTTAGATACCTAGGCTGAAGGAGTTGGCTAGGGATCTTTTCATGCGGTGGGGTTTTGAGAAAGACTGACGCTTTCCCTTTCCGTTCCGTTCCGTTCCCTTCCGTTGTCATCTCATCTGTCCTTCTTTCTTTCTATCTTTCCCTTTGTTAGGCGCGGATGGGCCGGGCGGAGGGCAATAGGGAACGTTTCACATCGAGCGAGCGGCCAGCGGTCGGAGACAGTGCGGTGGAATCGGACGTGTATACAGCCATGATCTGCTAAGGTCGAATGCTACGATTTTGGAACAAAAAAAAAAAAAAAAAAAAAACTAGCCACTCCTCTTATACTAACCACTCCTCTTATCTTACCTCGTCCGTGGCTCGCATCCCCAATCTATCCTATCTATATCGCGCCTCTCATGGTGGTGGCAGACAACCAGACCGACCCGCAAAAGAACCAACCCCTCAACCCAACACCGGATGTGGTATCGCCAGCCCTCCCACTAGCTTCTCATTACTCCACTAGCAGCAAAAGACCATGCTTTCGGTACCAAAGAAAAAGAACAACTCTCTGTCAGGGAATTGAACCCTGGTCTCCCGCGAACTATCGTTTTGACAGGCGGAAATACTAACCACTATACTAACAGAGACGATGTGGTATCCTGGGCAAAAGCGAATATGACTGTACCACGCATCTGTCCAACCTCAGATGAGCTCGATTTTTCTACATAGGTGCAGCGAGTATCCGTGCCCGCGAGGTAGCAGTTACATACCGTGTCTCAAGCTGTGGCATTCGTTGAACGTATACTTCCTAGTACAAACTCGGTCCATCGAAGACCCATAACTAAGTGCTAGGTATGATAGCACCATAGTCACCGTACAGCAATAAGCTCCGAGAAGCTTTCTTCCTGTCTAATTCCATCACTACCAGACACTTTCTGTCTTGATTCTCTCGAAGCCCACTATATCCATGCTGTGGCATGGATATAGTGTATATTTCGTGTGCCTTTGGCCCCCAAAACTACATGTCAATCACTGCGAACCACGGGCGTCGAGTGGCGGACCGAGTGATACTGTGTGATGCGTAGTGCTGAATACCGTACCTCACGGTAGGCAGGCACGATAGAACCGCGCTACAGTCAATGGGCTTCTGCGGCCAAGTCTATGTATGCGCGACCTACGCTCTGTCGGCAATAATGCGAACTCCCGGAGTTAAGATCGCAACCGTATCCCCGCAAGTTAACTGCCGGTTTCGTCTGCACCATGTACAGTTTAGAAATCTCCTGGTGAAAGGATCTGATGCCTTCTGTTTTGTTCAACGTCTTCTTGTGGGCTATTTTATTCAAAGCTATTCTGAGTTATATACATCGCTCCAGAGTCGACGATGTAACGTCTCATAACGGTACATTATCGCACCTTCCGGCTGTGCGGCCACTCCCTGGGAACTCGCTCCTCCATCACCGCCAGCCGAGTGATAGCGCATGATTACATTTCGAATCTCACGCATACGGCACAAGTGGCTTCGTCGAGAATGGCTCCGAAATTCAGCTGAGCCGTGGCTGAAAATCTCCGTAAGGTGTTTGTAGGTGGCTGGAGAGAGCCACATTAAG